TTCTGGCTAGCCTAGAACTAAGATCCGCCTGCATCTGCATCCCAAGTGCTGGGTTTGAGACATACATGACCATGCCTGGCTATATTTGATTGTATTTGACACATAGGAGTTCTAGTTATGTGGTATTATGTCATATCTCAGTACATGTACACAGTGTGCAGTGATCACATCAAAGTGATTGGTATACCTATCACCTTAAACATTCTTTTTTGTTTGTTTGTGCTTGGAACTTTCAAAATCCTCTCTGCTATTGACTTTGAGACATTTCACTTGTTAACAGTTGTTACTGTACTACTGTGTAGACCAGTAGAAGCTATTCTTTATATTCCCCGGAATCACAAAACCTGAGTAAGAATTCCAGCACAGCAGCTCTCCACTTGTGGGTCCCAACCCCTGGGTTCAAACGTCCCTTTCACAGGGACACACATCAGATATCTGCATTTACATTACATTTACATTACAATTCATAACAGTAGCAAAATTACAGTTATGAAGTGGCGGTGAAATAATTTTGTGTTTGGGTCATCACAACATGAGGAAGGTCGGGGACCACTGCTTTAGCATAACAGCAGGACAATCAATATAACACTCTAGCATCCAAATTATAGAAGCTCAGTGTTAACTGCACTGTAACCTAAAGATATTTATAAATACAGAGACAGGGCGTGCAACCGTTTCATGCTCCAATGCAATCCAAGCAGAGTGGCTGCGAGAGAACCAACAAACCTTCACAACCTGTGAAAATGTTAAGCTTGCAGTATAAAGCTGTGGGTGCTGTTTGTGTCAACTAAACTTCTGCCTGGTACCACTTCAGTGCCTAATGCTGAGCTGTGTGCAGAACTGATGTAATGCGCTTCAGAATGCCATGCTCCGAGCCAGCTATATACTCTAACTAGCTTCCATTCCTAGTAAGTGTGTGTCCTCTGCCCTTTATACCTTTACATTAGGTATTATCTTATTTCCCTGACTAACTCCTGGCCAAGTTGTATAACTTGTGTCAAATCAGTTGGAGTTTTGGGCATGGAGTTGTGTGGCTATGCTTCATTTAGAAGTAGTTAGTTAGATGTGTATTCCATAGTGGGGTGATGAATGTATTTTATCATAAAAATCAGCAGAAGATTAAAATTCCCATTGTGAACTCTAAGGATGACTTACACTTGACCAGGTGTGAGGAGCTGAAGGCAGACCATACTGCATGAGGTTAATTTTTGGTCTCTTTAGGAGGATTTCGGTTTTCACATTTAGCTAGCTTCTTAGGTCTTTAGAGAAACTCCGAGGTCTCTGTGCAGAAACCTCAGTGCATGACATACTTCTGTCTTGTCCAATTCTGTGCCCATAGTAGCTTTTCAGCACTTTCCTTGGTGGAAAGCACCATAAACCCGACAGTTGGATGTAGCTCCATGAGAGGACTTTGCTTGGCTTTCAGATGTGTTGAAAGAATGTGGTCCCAGACATCACCCACCTCATTTTGTGTCCACAGCAGATGCAGGCATCGGGGATGCCCTTGAGGCCTGACACACAAGGGTAGAGTGCACACAGTACCCCAGCCAGAGCAGGGTATTTTGTTTACTTTGCTGACTCCCATACTTCTTAATTCTGTCCAGTGTACTGTTTGGTTAGAAAACTCAGTTACATTGTTCAACACAGTAAACAGCCTTACTTTTTCCTACTTTGTGTTTTTCTTAAGCAGCTATGTGAAAGACTTACCTTCTGAGGGAGATGCATACATTAGACTACAGTGCATCGAGTATCTCACAAATGTTAGACTTCAGGAAGGGCAAACATAACTGAGTGTGTTTTTCTTTAGTCATTCTTTTTGGGAAACTTTTCCTTAGTTGTGGAAATTAAGAAAACATTGAAATTCTTAAGATTTGCTGGTATTAAACCCTAAGTGCCTTTCCCTGTTTTTTTTTTTTTTTTCTGCATTGCTAATATGTCTATCATTTTCTCTATACACGAAGAGTGTGCGCTTCAGGCTTAACCAGGTTTTGTTTTCCTCATAAAGTTGCCTGCCTGCTCCTACTGTAAGAATGAGGCATAATCTCAGGGTCCAGATTTTATATCACAGAATTTCTGACTTGGACATCAGGATTATTTATAAACTAGTTAGGGGCATTAGTCTAAAATGCGGGTGTATGAAGCTTCCACTTTACAAGATCCATGTATAGCTATCCTCCAGCTGGCATTGTACTAAATAGTGGAAAATTTAAAGCTTTTACTTGAAGAGGAGGAGGAAGAGATACTCACGTTTACCCCTCAAACAACCAGCCTAGCACTGAGAATCCTAGCAACAGATTTTAAAAAGTAAAAATGTGTTGGAGAAGTATCTAGGTCAGCAGTTCTCAACCTGTGGGTTTCTGAATGACTCTTTCACAGGTATTTACTTATGACTCTCAACAAAATAGAAAAGTTAGTTATGAAGTAGCAATGAAAATAATTTTATGTTTGGGGTCACCACAACATAGGGAACTGTAAGAAAGGGTGGCAGCATTAGGAAGGTTGGGAACCACTACTCTTTGTGCTAGATTGTAACTAGGGTTTGTTTTCAGAATGACTAGGGAAAGTAAAAACCTTAACAGTGTGTTCATATCTCATCTACCAGTGACAGTTTCAGAAGAACTAGGGTGAGGCTTATAAGGAACAAAATCACCTACTTTTAAAAGAAACACTTTCTTAACCAGTTAAAGAATGATTGTGAGAAATCAATAGCTTGTAAGCTCAGTGTGTGCAGAAAACTGTGTGTGTCTCTGTGTTTGTCTGTGTGTGTATATGTGTGCGCCATGGAAGTGTGGGGTTCTGTTTTTCTATAGACACTTTCCAAATTACAGAACTGGTCTCTGAGTTTCTAGTAGGACTGTTATGAGGGGAAAGGGTCTGAGAGAGACAGTTATAATAAATACCTATAACTGCACAAGCAAATGAAGGGGCTCTCTCTACTTGTTTCTTTCCGTTCTTCTGAGCCCATGTGTAGAAGAAAGTGAAGACAAGATGAAAAGCAGGTCTGCTGGCTGGTGTCAGCCTTGCAGGGATGGGTTGATCGAGGGAGATTGACATAGTAGATGCCTGCTTGCTTTCTTTTCTTTTTACCTTATTATAAGGGATTACCATTGACTCACTATCCCCCATCTTAAGGAATAAATACCTTCTCTCACTAAGGGTATTTTTATATATTCTTGTTACACATGTTGGGTCAGGATATTCATCAGATCTTCATCATGCATAAAAATGGCAAGGATTTTTGTGGATTTGACCATTACTTTTTCTGTAAAATTAAATGATACCACCATTATGTTTTTCTCACTAATATATACATGTGTATTACATAGCTCTATTAATTTGGTAAGTGTTCTTGATATTCTGCAGTTTTCTTATGATCATACTGTGAAAATGTTTCTATGGAGATGAGAACTCAGGCGACAATGGTTGGGATAGCTTTCAGGGTTCTGGCTGTAGAAGCTGTGTCATAGCTTAGGATTGGTTCCCAGCTTCTCCCCAGCAGGACCCTAACTATCCCTCTAAAGAGAAGACATTGCATGTCCTGAGCACTCCTTTTCATGTCACTCACTTGTGCCGGTGCCTTTGGGATTCTCTGAGGTTCTCTATTAATTAGTACTTGGAGAACATTTTGATAATAGCAAATGTTGACATTAGTAGTTTGTCCTCAGGCTTTCTTTTTCACTATTTTGGTTAAAACATTTATGATGTATTACTATATGAAGAATGAATCTCTACTAAGTATATGAAATAATGTATTTTTATGAGTTGTAGCTCATAGAAAATCTTAGCATTTAACCTTGTATATCAAAAAGTCAATATCAAAATTATTGAGTAAGTTACATATATTTTGGAAAAATAACAGCTTTTTGGTAAGAATTTTAGAAATTTTGGAATGTAAAAAATGTAGATAATCTGTAAATGAATAGGCAAGTAGTATAACTTCTGTGCTTTTCTTAATTAAACAAAAACCTGGTTAAGCTTTGTGAGAAGTTACTGTATCATTCTAACTTAATATCTGCTTCCATTTAAGAAGATAAGGAAAAGGTTGTCCATTTGAAGTTTTATTTTAAGTTTATAGTTCTTCATGGTAAGCAGTGCCTGCAGAATGCTACTTTTTGAGGAGGCAAAACTTTACTTTCCAGTGCTTCAGTAATTGAACAATGGTACAACAACTGGATGTAGTTAAGCCAGCTGTGTAAGGTGTAGGTAGTGATTGCTGTTTGAGTAGGACTGAAATTAGAAGGACTTCGTTTTTTTATGAATATATTTGTGATGCAATTATTTCAATCAGAATGAACTATTTATATTTATTTTTGAGACAGGGTCTCACTGTGTAGCCTAGACTGGCATGAAACTCTCTGAATAGCCTAGAGTATCCTTAAACTTGGTGGCAATCCTACCTCAGCCTCTTGCTCCTAGGGCTACAAGCATGAGCTATCATATCCGGTGTGATCCCTCTCCCTTCTTAGCATATAGCTCAGGCTGGCCTTGAACTCACAATCTTTCCACTTTACCTTCTGAGTAGCTAGGATTATAGGATCGTACCATATCACCATGGTTGGTCAGAATGAGATTTTATGAAGAATAGATTAGTTTGCTTTTGGAATTAGGAAGCACTTTGTAATTTAGCTATTTGGTCCATTTACTTCTGCAGGGAATGATACTGAGAATCAAAGTGTGAAGTAATGACTTACCAAAGGTGACATGACACATTTGGGTAAGATAAAACCCAGACATCACTCTTAATTTCTGGGCCTGGTGCTTTTCACATTATAGCTGTCATTCTCTGAAAGCCAGTCTAGGTAATTTAGAAGAAAGGGAGGTGGGAAGAGGATGGTAAAGGAAAAGGGCATTGCACTGCACCCCCTTTCTGTGACCACAATTTTAGGAGCCGACTTCCAGGTTTCCAGAAGCTGTTGTTTAGACATAATGCATCCAGGTTTACTGTGGCCAATGCTCAGATGTCTGATACTGTGCTAATAAAATTAATATTTTCCTTTTAGGTGAGAGTTACGTGTGTGCCTCCAATGAACCATTTCGTAAAGTTGATTACACCAAAAACGTTAATCCAAACTGGTCTGTGAACATCAAGGGAGGTACGACCCGAGCCTTGGCCGTGGCCTCTGTGAAAAGTGAGGTGAAAGAAAGCAAGGATTTCATCAAACCCAAGTTAGTGACTGTGATTCGAAGTGGAGTGAAGCCTAGAAAGGCCGTGCGGATCCTTCTGAATAAAAAGACTGCCCATTCCTTTGAGCAGGTCCTAACAGATATCACCGAAGCCATTAAACTAGACTCAGGCGTGGTCAAGAGGCTGTGCACCCTGGATGGGAAGCAGGTAAGGAGCTTCCTCCCGTGGCTGACTACCTTGCCTTCATTAGTTTACCTGTTGTCGATTATCTTTGCTGGGGATTGAAGAGGCAGTCTGGAACTTACTGTGTATGTGTAGTACAGGCCTAGCTTGAACTTGGGATCCCCTGTCCTCCCAAGGGCTAGGATTAGAGGTGTTCAGCATGTCCAATTCTTGTGCTGCTGCAGTTATATACTCAACAACGGAACACAGTGATCTCCCTGGAAGGTTTACATAAGGAGTGTGCTTGTGAATTAGCCTTTGGCCAGAAAGATGTAAGGGCTTCTCATTTCTCTAGATACCTCAGATCCTTGTGATCTTCAGTTTGTTAGAAGGAAAGATGTAGATTTCTAGGGAAAAGTGAAGTTGAGGTGGTGCCCTATGCTAAACTAGAAGATTCAAAAATAATTAGTGTTGCTTGTTTGTATATCACAGAAGTAAAAATTAATAACATATTTCCTCCATTATGTGTAATATGAAAAATGCATTTCAAAAGGAAGTACTGTCACAGGAATGTCCATATACATTTCTTCAAGAACAATAGAGGCAGTTAGCATTTCTGAAAAGTGAGTAGTTGGCTGAGAGTATGTAAGTAGAATTATGGGAACAATGTATCAAAGGATCTAATTGCTTTGAAAACTTGGGCACAGCATAAAGAAGCATGATAGTGAAGTGAAAGTTGAGTTTTCCCAGAAGTTGATTATTCATAAAGACAAACGGGCTTTATGTGTTTTCCCAAATTGCATAAAACTAAATTATTTATATTTGTATTACATTAAAATTTTAGTTCTCAATATCAAATTTCTTCGTTTTGTTTCTTTGCTTAGCATTCCTTACTTTGGAAATTTTGACTCTGGTAAAGCTGAGAAAGTAGACTATATAGGCCATCAGAGAAGCATGACAAAACATCCAGTTGTGACTAGGTTGTTTGCTACATTATTTCATAAAATTTTCAGTATATGTTTTCGGGCTTGGGAGCTAGCTCAGGGGGAAAGTATGCGCTTGCTGTGTTCCAGGCCCAGGGTTCAGTCCTCAGCTCCAAAAGTAAGTAAGAGAGGGCAGGCCTAATGGCATCGCCTTAATCCTTGCACTCAGGATGGATGTACATAGTTAGACTCTGTCTCAAAACAACGCAAAAAGAGCAGTAGCAGCAGCAAGAACAACAAAATCCAGAAAACTAAAAAAATAATAATAGATTCTGAGGTTATAGCAGAATAGTGTAAGATTAGTTAATGATCAGATGGCTTGACAGTATGAACAAAAACAAGACACTTGTACAAAAGAATTGATGTCCTGAATAGTTTAACACAAATCAACCTAAGATTTACTTGACATGTATGTGAACGTAAGTTAGGAAAATGTAGTGAATTTTTTTGAGGGGGGGCTACCAATCAGCTCCCAAATAATGATGCAGAGGCTTCTTATTATGAAAGCTTGGCCTACAATTTAGGCTTGTTCCTAACTAGCTCTTATAACTTAAATTAACTAATTTATATTACTATGGATTCCATCATATGGCATAACCTCTCTTCCATCTTGCACCTCCTGTTTCCCCTCTGTGTCTCCTGGCATCTCCCTGTGCCTAGATACCTCCCTCCCTGCCTCCCTGCCTCCCTCCCTGCCTCCCTCCCTCCCTCCCTGCCTCCCTCCCTGCCTCCCTGCCTCCCTCCCTCCTTCCCTCCCTGCCTCCCTCCCTCCCTCCCTGCCTCCCTCCCTGCCTCCCTCCCTGCCTCCCTGCCTCCCTCCCTCCTTTCCTTCCTCCATTACCTCCCTCCCTCCTCCCTCCCTCCTTCCCTCTGAAATCCTGCTTATACTTCCTGCCTAACTATTGGCCATTTAATTTTTTATTACACCAATCATAGCAATACACCTTCACACAGTGTGCAAACATCCCACTACAAAGAAGCAAGATAAGGTGAATTAGAAAATGGTTATGGTTGGCACAGGGAAGACAGGAAGAAAAGAGACAAATATTTAACATATCTAACCAAAAGAAAAAGTAACCTAAATATGCCAAATTAGAAAACCATAAAAATATGGCATAGTTGGATGTGATGGTACAAGCCTGTAATCCTAGCAAGTCCAAGGCCAGCCTGGGTTTATATCATGAGTTTGAGGCTGGCTTGTGTCATGTAGCAAGATACCCTATCAACCTCCTACACACACACACACACACACACACACACACACACACACACACACACACTACCATAGAAGGATTTCAAAAATGAGAACTCAAATTTGGAAATCTCCAAATGAATGGCATTCATGGAATATGTAAGTGAAACAAAGTAATTGAACATCAAATCGGAGTAGTAAATATTTAATTTTTAGTAGTTGGCCAAAAGAATCTTTTCAAAAAGGTTTTATATTTTGAAATTTCAATTTTTAAAGAAAAAATTGGGGGGGGCAGAATTTCCTACACAAGCACTGTGCATTTACATCGTTTCCATCTCTTCTCCCCTTGCAATTCTTCTTGTGGCCCCCGCCCACACTACCTCTCAAACTCACCACTGGGTCTGTAGTCATTGTGCCACACATACCCCACCCCACATAGCCCGCCAGGGTTATTTAGGGTTCTCATATGTGCATGCGGCACATGTGTTAAGCGCTGACCACTTTGGATTGGATAACTTATGTGGATGCTTGTCCTTGGGGAAAACTGATTCTCCCTCTTTTAGCAGCCACTGGCTGCCTATAGCTCTTCTCTTCATCAAGGGGTGGGACTTTGTGAAATTTCTCTCACCCACACTGGCATGTCAACTGGTGCTGTCATCATGCAGGTCTTGTTTAGGCCACTCTGTGGACGAGATTTCATGGGTACAGTTTTCCTGTCATGTCTAGAAGACAGTAACAAGAGGTGTTCTGGGTCCTCTGGCTCTTAAAATCTTCCTTCCCCTCCTCCATGATTTTCCTGAACCCGAGGAAGCAGGAGTTACATTGTAGGAAAACCAGTTGGGGCTGATCACCCATGGTTACTTGTTCTCTGCATTGACCAGTGTGTGTCTCTGTAATAGTCTCTAGTGTGAGGGGTGAGAGGTACACTTGTCTTTGGGTACAAGAGTAAGCAATTAGAATATGAGTAGAAACCGTATTGATTTTGGAAAAGGACAACTGTGGGTTCTCCTAGGGTCGCACACCTCTCTAGCCATAGATATTTGGCTTGGTTTATAGTACAGATGTACATTCCTCCCTATTGAGTAGAGCTTAAGTTCTTTTTGACAGATGTTGGGCACTCCCATGATAAAAGTGCCATTATCACATACTGGGGCAACATGCCAGGAAGGTATCACTGAGGTCCCTAAGTTTTATAGCTGGGTAGGACTGTTGATCTCACCTTTCCATTGGTAGCTTTCATAGTGTCTCCAGGTACTGCTAGAGAGCTAGTCCTTGGGGAGGAGGCTCCCAGGTCAGTTCCATCTTTCTTCCCCCAAGGCCTGTGTCTGAAATTGTGGTGTCTTCAGCAGAAGAACTGAAACCATATTAATAACAATGTTGAAATGGAAAAGAATTTCCTGAGAATAGGCAAGGCTGATCAAACTGTATAAGAATTAAATTTCTGGATGTCAAGCAGCAGCTTTATGTTGAGTTATGGCAACATACTATTAAGGGGATCCTGGAAAAGAGTAAAAGTGGAGAAAGTTTGAAAGCACAGTGACCATGAAAACTGTGTAAACTAACATTGATTTGAGGACTGGGATTGTGACTGTTTGTTTAGCGAGACCTGGGTGTTATTCCTGATCTCACCCGGCAGTCCTTCAGTCTTCTTCTTTTAAATAAAGAGAAATGCCCATTGTTTTTGAGTGTGCAGTGATTTGGCCTTGTCAGAGTCTCCAGCCTCTGCCTCTCAGGTGATGAGATTAAAAGGTGTGCATCACTGTGCCCATGCCCAGCTCTGCTTTCTTGAAGACTTTAAAATGTGTGTGGTGTGTGTATGTGAGATATATGTGATGTGTGTGTGTTTGTGTGTGTGGTGTGGGGGTGTAGTGTGTGTAGTGTGAGTATGATGTGTGGGGGGTATGGTACGGTGTGTGCAGTGTGTATGGGGGGTGTAGTGTGGTGTGTGTGGGTGTAGTGTGTACAGTGTGTGTTTGTGTGATGTGTGTGTTTGTGTGGGGTGTGTGTGTGCTTGTATGGTGTGTGTGTATGTCTGGGGTGTATGATGTGTGTGTGTTTGTGTGGGATCTGTATGTGGTGGGGTGTATTGTGTATGTTTGTGTGGTGTTTATTTGAGATTTTCTCTGAAAAGAAATAAAAAAGGAACTTAGACATATTAATGAACTGTGAACAATTTGAGACTGTCAAACTTTTTTGTTCCGGTTTACTTACTATCCAAGCTTGTTTTCATTTAAAATTAATTGGCTCTGTGACACAAAGATATAAATTGTCTCTTAGACAATGCAACAGAAGCAGTCACTGATCTCATCCTTAAGTAGTGGACTTTTCAGAGGTCTTGTTTTCCTTCATGGGCCTGAAGGCTTTGGGATGGGAAACGTTATGAGGTGTCATGTGGCATCAGCATTATGTTCTTGTTATAGTGTGCCTTGAGTTTTTTCCTCCTTTAGAATGCTCACATTCCCTATTGGTATGGACTCCACTTATAAGAATTTCTTAGTGATTAACTCATATTTAATGTCTTCATAAAATAACTTAAATCATCTTGTAGGATTTCATATGTTAACTTGTGGGTTCTAAACCAGCAGTGATTTTTTTTTGGGGGGGGTCTCTAGGAGACATAGAGCTGTATCTGGACTCAGTTTCTGGTCGTCACAACTAGAAATGGGGATTCTGGTGACTGGTCATTAGAACTCAAGAGTAGTTGCTAAGGATCTGAAATTCACAGGCAACTGTAATAGGATTCTTTGGGCTCCACATATTAATAGTGCTCAGATTTTAAAAATCCTGGTTTAGTGTAATAAAGTTACTCAAAAGGAAATACTCTGAGTATTGACATTGTTTATAGACATCATGCTGAACTTTATTTTATA